TTATTTAACAGTGAAACATTAATCTGAAACGCATAATTTCATTATACAACAAAAATAACAAGAAAACGAATTGTTTAATTTTAATTTAATAAATGATATATTTCTTATTTTTCCCATCTCTTCATACACGTATCTCTCTGTTATGTTACGTGTATATACTTATCTGTGCAATATATGAAACAATATATTACGAATCATAATAAAAATAAATTTATAGAGATAGATGTAGAGCGGTGTAAGCATAACATAACGGAAATACGATATATTCATGCATTTCGGCGTTAATAATTTGTGTATACAATTATATAAATATATTATTGTATACACGTATATAAATATATTATTGTATACACATTATATAAATATATTATTGTATACACGTAATAAAACAATTTATAATAAGATTTAATTCAATTTCATATTTGAAATTGGAAAGTGTTAAAGTCGCGTTAAATTTCAATTTTACTTTCAGTTTAATTCTATCATGTATTTTTCCCATTATATTTAATATTCATACTTTTAAACATAATTAACAATACAAATACTTAATCCAAGAAGAAAGAAAAGTAGTAACTAAGAGAAAATCGGTTGTGTATTCATCACCTGAAATACAATTAATGTGCTAATGTTCCTTCCGAATTACCGCACTTTCCGCGCGCGTTCGTCATTATCGACTCAACGTCGGTAAATTCACTACTCTACTATGACCCAGCGATTCATTGCTATTGACTGTACGTGAAGTGGTTGGGATTCGATGGATCGCACAATTCGTGGGTACACAAAGATTCTCTGATTTGAATCGTTTTTATTGTAAAAAACATATACGGAGAATATACGTGTACATGAAAAATATAAAACTGTATACGATATTATCCTCCCTTCCAACAGTATCATATTTTTTATAAACATAAGTAGGAATATAAAAAACATAAGTAGAAATATAAAAAACATAAGTAGGAATATAAAAAAACATAAGTAGGAATATAAAAAAACATAAGTAGGAATATAAAAAACATAAATAGGAATATAAAAAATATAAGTAGATTATTATTATAAAAATATGAAAAAAACATACACTGATTATTGTAAAATATATTAAACGGTATAAACAATTACCTTACATATGGAACAGTACAAAAAGTTGGCATACATATAAAAAATGCAATATATATTGATTATTATAAAAAAGACATAAAAATGCAATATATTGATTTATTATTGTAAAAAAGACATATTGAATATCATAAAAATTAATATACATAACGTGCAACGTATAATACATATACTTATAATACTGTGATACATTTGATGCATACGCCGCGCATACATACGTGTATCATTCGATGCATACACACACTAAGATATAATACATACACATATATGTATATACATTACACCGGTATCCGATAATGTCCCCACGGTAGTGTCTCCGTCGAATTCGGTACGATGTATCGTTTGTCGACTCAGAGCGATTTTCGTTTCGGACACCGTGTATACTTCGTGCAGCTTCGATCGTATACACAACTGACTACGAGTCATTTCGATATGTTCGTTCAGGCATCGCGTGTAATCATCGAACGTTATCGTCCGCGCTACGACGTTACTCTTGATCCCCTTGATCTTTTTGGTGCCCCTCCTACTGTCCACTCTCACCCCGTACATCTTCGCCCTAAGCCCGACGAATTCCGTCATTATCGCGCCATTATTCTCGTCCTTCATCAAACCCGGCACTTTTTTATTCGCGCGAGGCGCACTGTGCGCGTTGTCTATGGGATAATCGCTCGTGTCGAATCGATTGATATCACGTTTCATCGTCTCGTAAACATCCTTGCACTCGAGATAGTATATGAGACTGTCCGTGTCGATGTACATGATCTTGCACTTGTCGCGGTACAGCGGCAACATGTACTCGTGGTGAAATTCGTACAGGCAGACTTTCGATACGTCGAGTATGCACATACCCACGTAAATCGGCTTGTAGAATTGTACTTTGAGTTTACGCAGTTCGACGGCGATTAAATTTTCCGTGAATACGTTGCGCCTGTGAAAATTCGGTTTCGCGATCAGCGCCTCCGCGCCGTGTCTACCCTCCCATGTCATCGCCACGTCGATGTGCTTGCGCACGTTCTCCATGGTCTTACCAAATACCGCGTTGTTCATTAGTTTGTACAGATTTTTTTCGAAATCGTTCCTTGCCTCGGTTCTGAATTTCGTATTTAGTTCGATGTACTCGCGAAGCCATAGAGATTGCGCAAATTGCAACACGCGGTGAATCTTCGTTATGCAAAGGCCGTGGCGAGTGCATTGCTGCAGATTGCGGTAGTAGATGACGTAACGCTTCTTATTGAGCGTCGCGAGGAGCTTACAGTGTCGCGTGCCGGGCGGCTTATCGCGCGTCGGGCAGAAAGGTAGGTCAGTGTACCGGTCGTGTAGATATTGAGGATACTCTAGATCGACCTCTAGAATATACCCCGTGGACGAATCCGAAGCGATCGCGCCCCAGTCAAAGCATCGTCGATCCATCGAAAATCGGCGTAGGGCAACGGCTGACACATCGCCTAGCCGTACGAATTGTTCACGTCGTAGTAAATTAGGTACGACGACGGTTTCGACGGGTCGTACGCAGACATGTACTTATTGTTGGCCCGCGCGTATCTGTTGGAACATTGACTGAAGCCATCGCGTATACCGCGCTCGATAAACAAGACCATATCGATGTCGGTGAGCAGTTCGAAATTTACACGCATGTGTTTCAGCATGGCGTCCCACGTGAAACCCGGCAACGTAAAATAATGCGCGGGATCGAGTCCGTAACTCGCGACGCAGCTGTCGCGAAAATTTTCAAAAACGTCCGCGAGCAACAGGACGTCCGTTTTCAGGTACAGATCGCTGTACTCGCCGAGCGTTCCAATGGAGAACCGTTGCCATACGTCAACGGCGTGCTCGTAATCGCTCTCGGACACGGTGTCGCCCGTTAACGAACTGTGAAACGATACGCGCGGCGGTAAACGCGTATCCTCCAACTTTTCAAAGTGGTCGACGTACTCGTACGGAAATACGCCTTTTCTAGTGAGGAGCTCGAAATGTTTCACTGGTAGAGTACAAAAATCGCGTTGCATTATTCGTAGTTTATCTTTCTCAAGATAAGATGCCAATTTCTCGAGATTCGAACTGAGAAATTTGAACGAGTCGATAAAGCGTAATGTTACGCTAGTTCTATAATCTTTTTTTTTTTTCATTTATGTGCTATTGATTGTTTTCGTAAACGCGATGTACTTCTCTTTCGTTACCGGAAGTAGGTTTACGTATCCCTCGTATGCGATAGCTACTTCCTTAATAATGAAATGCGCGTCGTAACCGAATAGATTGTGAAACACCACGGGAATGCAACGCAAATTTTTGTAGTTCAAATTGCAGTTGGAATGCGCGGGACCTCTGTATCGTCCGGTCATGTGGCAGTGATCCCGTACCTGTGTGTCTTCCGCCGCAAACGGTTTTTCGCATGTGCGACAGTGTGTAGCGTTGTTATATCTTTCGCATTCGTCGCGCGTCAATTCCGCCATCGGAACGTTAACGGATGGAGCGGACTTTACTTTGTGCGCCAATTCTTTGAATTCCTCGACGAACCACGCGACGCAATCCTTATCGCGACGACACCGATACATTGATAGCGCGTCGTCGTACGAGCAGTGCACGTAGTATCCGATACTGTGTACCTTGTGGTGTTGAGACTCAGGCAGATTCGGGTCCATCTTTTCCAGAACGCATTCCAGGTCGGCGTACAGGACGAACGGAATAATATCCTTGTTGCCGTGTTTGCCGAACGTTAGCCATTTCGGGTCTTCTTTAGGCAACTCTACCGCACACTCGTTCAACTCGTTGCAGTCCACGGTGTGGGCATCCAGTCGTTCCTGCGAGCTGAAGTAATGTAGGCATCTGTAAACACAAAATACTTAATTTTTGTCTTTTTTACAACATTCTATTTTAGTATTTTCTCGATACGTACCGGTCGCAGAAGAAATTCTTGTGTTGCTTCTTGCTGAGTTGAGAGCTCACGAGGCGGAACAAATTTTTTATCCACGCGAAGTGGCCGATGCTGCTGGGATCCTGCAATAGATTGACATGCCTGTTGCCTTTCCATCTTTCGACCGGTCAATCGTAATCGGAAGAACAGATAGTTCACCCCCCTCCTTCTCGATACAGTACACGTTTATCGACACGTCGTTCGCACGTTCGAATTTCGTAATGTCCTTCAGAGTCATAGGAAACTCGATACCCGCGAACTCGAGCACCGTTGCGTAATGCGGATACGACGACTCCCGTTCCGCGTTTCTTTCCACGGGGTGCAAAGCAGCGACAACCGACCAA